GAGTTTACACACACACACACACACCCCAAGACCCTACACCCTAACCCTAAACCGTTTATACACCTTAAATTAAACTCTATACATAAGCTCCCAAACCCTAAACCTTACACCCTGAACCTTTAGACTTGAACACCAGCTAAACCCAAACCCCTAAACCCCAAACCCTAAACCTTACACCCTGTATCCTAAACCCTAAACCTCACACCCTGAACCCTTAAACCTTTAACCTCAAACCCGAAACCTTACACCCAGAACCCTTAAACCTGAAGACAGGTTGAGGAGTTCGCTGAGTTCGCAAACCGAGAGGCTTTGAGAAGCACCTGTGTGGTCCCGGGCTAAGGATTTTGAGGGTTTAGGGCTTAGGGTTTAGGGTTCCATGGGCAGCGCGTGGTTCAGGGCTTTAGGGTTTCAGGGGTTTTAGGGGTTTGAAGGGTTGAGGGCTTTAGGGGTTTAGGTGGTTTAGGGGTTGAAGGGTTGAGGCTTGAGGGGTTTTGGATTTCAGGGTCCGAAGGACCCAAGAGATAGCTGGCTTTAAGATAGTAGTGTAGGTCAGTCTGGACCCTGTAGCGTCAGGGTCTGAAGTTCGTACTAGGAATAAAGAGGCCTGGAGCATTGCAAATGTTTGTTTTTTTCCTCCTGAGGGTTCCTTAATGTAAGTGTAGAATACTCTATCCATCATAAGCGCCGCAACATGGTCCCTTGTCCCTACATATAATTAAAAGGCACCCCCCCAGGACCCCATTGGCGTCTTTAAGGTTCCTCTGGGCTTAAAGACTTATAAGGCTTTAGGACTTACAGGATCTTGAGGCACCCTAAGCCCTAAACCCTAAACCCTAAACCCTAAACCTAGGGTTTAGGTTTTAGGGTTTAGGGTTTAGGGCTTAAAGGGTTTAGGGTTTAGGGTAGGCACTCAGGTTTTCTACGTCTCCTCACCAAAGCTGGCTCACCCATAGTACCAAAGGAAGACTGGGAGTTCAGCTTAAGGGTTGGAGGGTCAGGTCCTCCATTGGGACACCTTTTAGGGCGAGGGTTTAGGATTTAGGGTTTAGGGTTCTTGTTTTCGGGGGATAAGGATGTTTATTGTTTCGGGCTGTTGGGCTTGGCGGTTTCGGGCCAA